GGAGCGGTGGGAGTTTTATGTCCGGGAGCGATGCGGACTGGAGCCCGGGAATGGTGCGGGGAGCCGAACCCACTGCTTTGCCCTGCTTGGGCTGTAGTTTAGCAAATCTTCTTGTTCTTCTTTCCTTGCGTGACATTATGTGTTTAATTCTTTTTAAATGTCCACTACGAAACCTTTATGTGTAAAGAGGGTTTCCTCTGTATGCGTATTCCTTAATTATGCCAATTTCAAAAGCTTGCCATACGAGTTATTTAAATGCAAGGGGTTTTTTTGACATTCTTTGTTTCAGACCGATGGAATGGGCTTGCTCTCCAGCTTAATTCCGTATTTTTCTTGTTTTTCTAAACTTTTTACTGCTGTGGGCTTTGTAAAGTATATTCTTACTTGTATTTAGCAAGGGCACTCCTTACCTGTTTACAGCTTTGAGATGATCTGTTGTTTATATTTACATCAGTGAATTTACCACTGTTTGAGATGGCATCAGTAAATTGCATAACTATCCCCTTCCAAAGTGTATTCAGACTTTATTAATGGAGAAGAATACGGGTCTTCTGTCAAGTAATTTCTATACAGACTTTCATACATTTACAGTTAAATCTAATCAAGCAAGCCCTTTCTCTTTTTTAATCTCTGCTATTGCATTTCCCACTGAAGAAAAAACACTAGAACTTAGTGCTGGGGAGCTTTGAGATCTTTTGTGTTGGAAGTAATAGAGTCCTTGCTGACTCCAACTTGTTCAGTTCTGCATGACAGAACTTTTTTTGTCTTATTAGCTTTACCTACTGAATATGCCTAACCACCTTTAAAACATATTTTACCAGCTGAATGAAACTGATTCATGTGTGAATACATTTATGACTCTGATGCACAGTTAAAACAGCAGATTATTTTAAACCCTTTAGCATTTGCTACACTATTTGTCTTCCTTTCTTTTAAGTGTGGGTTTTGTGCCTCTTGTTCTCAGGGCTGCAGTTTGTGAGGCCGTGCAGCAGTGCCGGGCAGGCTGTGGGGCCAAGGAGCTGCGGGGCAGCCACCGGGTTTGCGGTTGGCGTCACCATCCGGTGGCCGCTGGGGGAGCAGTCCCCAGCCAGGCACCATGAACTCCGGCACCACTGCCCCGCAGAAGGTCACCAGCAACCCCACCAACACTGATGTCAACTATGTCATCAAAGAGCATTATAATTACACGGGAAAGCTAAATGAGAGTGTGGACACTGGAATTAAAGTGACGTCGGTGGTTTTTATCATCATTTGCTGCTTTATAATCTTAGAGAACATTTTTGTCTTGCTTACCATCTGGAAAACCAAGAAGTTTCACAGACCCATGTACTATTTCATTGGGAACTTAGCTCTTTCAGACTTGCTGGCTGGTGTGGCTTACACTGCCAACCTCCTGCTATCTGGACACAAAACCTACAGCCTGACCCCCAACCAGTGGTTTGTAAGAGAAGGCAGCATGTTTGTTGCCTTGTCAGCTTCTGTGTTCAGCTTGTTGGCCATTGCCATTGAGAGATACATCACCATGCTGAAAATGAAACTCCACAATGGCAGCAACAGCTTCCGCTCCTTCTTGCTGATCAGTGCGTGCTGGGTCATCTCCGCCATCCTTGGGGGGCTCCCGATCATGGGCTGGAACTGCAAGACCCTCTTGTACAACTGCTCCACTGTGCTGCCTCTCTACCACAAGCACTATATTCTCTTTTGCACAACCGTCTTCACTGGCCTTTTGTTGTCTATTGTGGTCCTCTACTGCAGGATCTACTCCATGGTGAGGACTAGGAGCCGCAGGCTGACATTTCGGAAAAACATTACCAAAGCTACCAGGAGCTCAGAAAAGTCACTAGCCTTGCTCAAGACAGTGATCATAGTCCTGAGTGTCTTCATTGCCTGCTG